GAGGACCACTACCCACATAAAAGCTTGGAGGTGTGGATGCCCATCTGTATGTAGTGCTTGGGAGGTACAGAGAGGGGCTCCCAAGGGCAAGCTGGCTAGATGGATTTTCTAACTGGAGATCTTTAGGTTTAGTAAGAAATTCTGATCCAGCAAATAAAGTGGAGAGCAACCTGAGGTCAGCCTCTGGCTTCCACACATATGTGTTATACACGTGTCCCCACACATAAGCATGAACACAGACCACATACATATGCTCATGTAAAAAAGTTTTAATAGCAGAATTCATCTTTTATCTCAGTTGTATCTTCTGTTCTATTTAATAAATCCTTGCCCTGAGGTTATAGTGGTATTCCCTTATACTTTCTTTTTAAAGTTTAAAATTATACTTTTCACATTTACATAAATTTAATTTATTTGAAATCGATTTTAAGGTGAGGAATAAAGTTGAGATCCAACTTTACTTTTCATATATAGATAACAAGCTATTCTAGCACCATTAACAATTCTGTTCCAAAATGACTAAAATATCACTTAGTCACATAATACTTTACTCTACATGTGAGTTTCATTGGGGTTCTGGTGCTATTAGTCCAAATGTCTATCTCTGTCAAAACTAAACTGATTATATTATTAAAAGGAGACAGTTTTGTAAATCAAAAAGCAAAGCTTACTAGTTGTTGAGTACTAACTGCTTATCCTAAGGTATGACATGTTCCCTTCTAGGAAATTATGATTATCTACCATAATTTCTCCTACCAACACTTAAGAGATGTTGAAAACCATCTCTAAGCAACGTGCTTAAGCAGCAACCTCATCTCTCCACAGAGGGACATCAATTTCATTAAATTTTATAAAGTAAACAAACTGCTGGAAATCCATAGAATGATAGCTGTTTCAGATAAAATGTTGACGCATCCTAGTTAAAAAGAACATGATAACTTAATTCCTTTTGCAAAGTTCCTCAAGTATAATTGACTGCTTCACTGTTTCCAAAGCAAAGACTACTCAGAGAAATGATTTTCACTAACATCAAACAAACATAGTATACAACCACACAACCACAAACTGGCAACAGACTTTGAAAGTAATATTTGAATTATTAAAAAGTGTATTACATCACTTGGCAAAGGACACATGCTTGAAATCCCAGAACTTGGGAGTCTAAGGTAGGATGACTATGAGTGTGAGGTCAGCCTGGGCTATATAGTGAATTCTAAGCCAGCCCTGGCTATATAGTAAGACTTGTATTAAAAAAAAATCAAACTACAATAGAAAATTATGTATAATTATACATGTAACTTTATAGACTTTATGGCTTATTTTATGGAAGCTTAATCTCTTAAATTTGTGGATGATTT